TACGGACAGCCGGAATCGTCAGAACTCACAAGAACCCGCGGAATCACATGCAATCGTGCGATAATGAGTAAGCAGTAGATTGTGTCCTTCCAGAGGAGGAAATCTACTTCTAGACTTTGGAATCAGCATCTCCTCATCCATGGTGTCATCGAGGGGAAATACTAAAAACCTTTTACTTGTTCGTCTCCGCCCGTTTGCATGGTGTGAAATACGATCCGCCCGAAACTCGTAGTGTTTTATTTTGAAAAGAAGCTGGATGTTTTATTTTGTGTCTGTGCCCGAAAAAAAATAGAACTCTTGCGATCAGCTGCTGGTGGAAATTGGCACATGAGTTACGATCAGCTGCGATCGGCGGATACGGCCTTTTTGTAGCCATTCTGGATGCGGTGAAAATTGGGGGTCATAGTACCATCACGCCTAAGGTACTGCGATTGATGGCTAAGAGTGTTTGAAAGCCGAGTGACTGCTCATAAATCTGCGCCATGAAACATCTCAGTCGACAAATTAAGGAAGGGATCTGTTCGCTGCTGCGCTTCAGTAATCTCATGTCCCACCTTCAGTGCTGTGACTTTACCCACCTTCTTTAACTTTGAGTTTGAAACCTGAGTGGGTGAAGAAGAAGCCTTCAAACCGCTTCTCCTTCACTTCACTCCCTCCCTCCTCCACCTTCCTGCGCGGCACTTCTTCAAACATTAATCCTTTTATTACTTGCATGTCACTTTCTCTTACGCTTCACACCTCTAAATCTCCCTGCTTCTCCTTCTCATTTTCCCGTTTCTAATTTTTGGCCGCCCACTTCCGTGCTATTAATCTCTGGCTGTCTTCAAATCTCCCTCTGTGCAGTCCATCCTCTTCATCTTCCCATAAGCCCCTATATCTCCCTCTTTCTGAAAATTGCCCTGTCATTTCTCCACCGCACCGCCTGCCCTTTCGTGTTTATCGCTGCATCTTCCTTGTGTCACCTTCTTCGTTTTCTAAGAGAAACTAAACAAGGGAAATGTTGTGCACAAAGCTGCGGTTTGAGTTTTTATGTTTGAGAGGACCAAAATCGTATAATCATTGCAGTAAATAATAAGAGGAGGGTGTTTTCTTCGAAGAATGAATGTTTTTTGTGTGCCGACTCATCTTATCATCGACACACAGCCTCAGAAATAACCTCAAGTTCTCTGCAGCAGTGGTTCCTCCCTTGATGAATTCCTCTGCAGAAAGATGCACATGTGAGCGAACTTGTCAAACACAAAGGCGCTCTTTCTTTCCGAACTTCGCCGTGCATAACCTTAACGGCTCTTCGGCCTCGGCCGAGACTTTCAAGGCTATAAATTTCGGATCTCTCTCATCACTGAAGGCCTCAGATGATTGAGTTAAAATTAAGTCCAAACACTTTGAGTGAGCTGAATGAGTAACACCATGGCCATCTGCCATTGGTTAAAACACATGCTGGCACATAGAGAGAAAAGGTTCACACTTTGCACTCTGGAGCAAATTGGTTTATACTTATTCAGAACATTTTGATCGGGGGAGTTTCTGCAGACGTCTTTGGCCTGACTTTTCTTCTTCTTTTTACTTTAGCCATCAGACCGCTGCCTCTAAGAGCTCGTAAATTTATAAACACACTCTAGTATGTATGAAACCAATGAGGCTTACTCCTGTGACTTCATTAAATCTGAGTTTTGCATATTGATTGTACAAGTCAATATCATTAACATTAAAAACTGGGGCTCTGTGGAAGGAACAGGACGTAGACCAGTGCCAAGTGGAGACCATAAAAGGAATATGTAACAAGGTAGAGCACGGTCTTTGTATCAATGAACACGCTAATTGGACGCACTCGTTTTGGCGATTGATTATCCGAACGGCTCAATTTGCAGCTCATGTACTGGAGTGTGAAAGTAGCTCATTCTCAGTCCCAGAGTATTAGTTCTAGTTTTAGTACGAGTTCAGAGGACCTGAGGGGCCAGAAAGGAGAGCATGATGGACACGAATATCTGTGGATCATCAGCATACGAATGGTAGGATCAAGTGACCTAAGGAGAACATATATAAAGAAATAAGAACTGGTCCAAGAACCGACCCCTGAGGAGCACCGGGGGGAACCTTCTTATCCACATATACAGAACGGGGACCCTAAAAAGAGGGGTCTCAATGATCCAAGTCCAGTAGAAGATGTAGTCCAAAAACATTAAATCCATGAAGGTCCATGGATTACTTCAAATCTGCAATCAAAGTTGAGGATTTTGGAGTGGCACTTTGGTTGGCTCGTCAGATCTGGATAAAGACCCATGCTAGCATGTGTCACCTTCAGGGGTTACCCGTAAAGAAGAAGAGCCTCGACATCTTCAGCATCAGTGAACTCGCTAGTCACTACAATCAGTCAGAATGGATGCTTCAGTTTATCACCAGCCAGACACCCTGGACAAATCACCAGTTCATCGTAGGGCTGACATATAGAGATGAACAATCATCCACGCTCACATTCACACCTACGGGCAATTTGGAAGTGGCCAGTTAACCTAACCACACTTAGGAATGTTTTAAGGATGTGGGAGGAAACCAGGGTACCCGGAGTAAACCCACGCTGACACAGGGAGAACATGCACACTCCACACAGAAATGCCCTGAGTCGGATTCAAACTCAGGACCTTCTTGCTGTGAGGCGACAGTGCTAACCACTACACCACTGTGCGGCCGATTAAAGGTTCCTACTCCAGCTAAAAAGTAAAATTGCAACGTACTGATAAAAGGCTTGAAAGAATGTGAATAATTCAGTGTTAAAATTGTTCCATAATGTGTAGGCCTCTTGTAAATAAATCAAATTCATAAAATGATGACCATCACAGGGGACGTCCTCTTAAGTCTTTATAAGCAATATGTCGGTTTACACAAGGTTCCTGATTTGCTATGTAGTATCACCAAGAGTTAACTTCAACCTCAGCGTTCAGAAGAGGAAATAACACACTTGTGCACTTTGACTTCAATGAAGAAGAAAAAAACCAGAGTGAAACTGGAAGAGGAAGAGATGTTTAGCATGAAGTAATAAGAAGCAGAGATGAAAGGAGAGACAAAGACAATGAAACGGAGAGAGGAAGAGGAGTTTGATAATTCACTGGATAAGAGGAGGATCATCTAAAGAGAAGGGTAATTTAAAGTGTGATGGAAGAGGCGCTCATAGTTCCCCGGCGGAGAATAAAGCAGCCTCCATGTGTGTGTTTTCCTGAACATGTGTGCATTTCCATTAATCTCCTCCCCTGGAGCTTCACTAACGTTTGAAGAAGAAGCTATTTGAGACTCGGTGACTGCAGATTACTGATAAGGAAAATTACACTGTCAGAACTTATCAGCGCCAAAATCAGCCCAACCAGCTCGCGTCGTCACACGCGCGCATTCAGAGGTGGTCGGGTTAGAAGGAGAAGGTTTTTTTCTAGTTCAGGCATATGTCAGCGTGTTTGTGTGCTTCATGCGTGCGTTTCTATCCCTCCTCCGGGGAGACCCCACGCACCGTCTGTCTCCGGCTGATTCAGAATTCATAGAAAAGGAAAGAAGGAGGAGGGGGAGAAAGAAATGTGGAGGGGAAGAGGGGAGAAAAGATAACAGCTGTGGAATAAAACTAAAAAGTGATGTTACTGCTTTCATTCATACAATTGTAACCTTTTCTGCTGATTTGTAATTAAATATATAAGTTTAATGTTACAAACTGGCTTTTTTTGCTGCCTGAACCTGATGTCACGCTCTGCCGTCCAATGAGGTTAATGCTAAAGAACAAGCCAACCAGGCAGCTCCAAACAGCTTTTTCAAGGACCAGATTTCCACTAACCTAACCCTAACCCTGCTTTTTTCTCTGTTTTGCACTTTGTTGAGTCGCCATGTAAGAAAAAAAAAAGTGTTATTTTGGTCGTGAAGAAAAGTCATGACTATTTTTATTTGCTAAAACGAAGGCGGCAGAAAACAGTGGGACGATTTTTAAGGATGTCTCAATATAATAATAATATCGGATATCGGTCCGATAACAGCAAAAAAACAAATATCAGATTATATCGGCCTGCATCCAAAATCTCCGATATCAGTGCTCCGATACGAGCAGTCCATTCCAGACTCTGCTTCAGCACAGAGTAATGTGGGCTGCAAATTATGTCGAGTACATGTTCTCACAAAGTCGGGGAATACCTCAAATATTTTTCACCACCTGAAGCAGCACCACACCGCAGAGCACGTGCAATGCGAAAGGTTACAAACCTTGAGCGCAGCAAGGAGCCCATGGCGCCTGTGCAGCCGAAACAGCCGCTATTCAGTCCGCTTTCTGTAGCGCAACGCCTTACAACAAAACGTCAAAGAGACACAAAGACCTCACAGATGCAGGAGACAAGCTACCAATAAGCACTGTTAAATATCATTTTTATATTGAGATATATCAATATCAACTGATATGAAAAAAAATATCGTGTTAACTTTTTCCCATATCCCCCAGCCCTACATCTAACCCTAACCCTGTCATCCCAAAAGGGTCTATAACGACCTTCCATAAAGGCTTCAAAACATTATAACAGCAGCTTATATATGCTGGCAAGGCTAAACAGGGAGTTTAGTGCGTACTTCAGACATTTTTATAACTTTCATGACAGTAAAACTGTGTAAAAAGTAACACCCCCTCATGCTGTTTTGACTTCAATTAGAGGCTGAGTAGCGCTGAAATGAGGGTTTTCACAAACGCCAGAAGATAAGGAGCTCTCTGAGCAGCAAATCTTGCAAAGCTGTGTCCCATTCTGACAGAATGAAAGAGAAAATGAGTTTAACGTCTCCTCCAAAAAGGTGTACTCAATATCACAGTAATTTCAGATCCAAGTCTAAGGCGTCACCTGCACTCCTAAAAGGACTTTTTCCTTCATCAGGTCTGCGGTTGTTTTAAAAGAGCAGGTGCTGCAGGCTTTCCACTTTGTTTTTTACCCGGTATTTGCCTGAGATCTGAGGCGAGAGCTGATGTCGAGGTGAGATAGGCGTAGGAGGAGGAGGAGGAGGAGAGGGAGAAAGAGACAAAGTGGAGGAGAGTAAATGAGGAAAAGATAGCAGCGGCAGATACATGGACGAAGATTCAAGAAGAGAGAGGAGAGACAGAGACCGAAACCGAGACGGATGTGTGTGGTCAGATAGATAAAGTGAAGTGTGCTGCGGTCAGCTGAGGATCCACTTTGTTTTAGCTTTTCCTCTAACAGCATCTCTGATCAATCCGCCCGCCGGGGTTTGTCACTGTTTGTGCGAGAGAGAGAGAGAGAGAGAGAGAGAGAGAGAGAGAGAAGAAAATAAAGAGAGGAGGAAATAAAATATCAAAGCTGATGCACAAACTGCAGAAAACACGACTCGCTCTCAGAGGACAGGCGCAGAGGTGAATGACTCCAGGAAAATATGCTGCTGTGGACACATCACAGTTTTGCAGTATGAGGCCGCTGTTTGACTTATTCAGTAGTTTTCATAGTTGGGATACAAACATGCACCATTAATCATTGTGGAATAAAACTCTGTATTTGGATCAGTCTTTAAAAAGGGATGGAAGCACCGATGTGTGAGAAGTTTAGGAGGGAAGTTGGTACTGTATCTACATACTCTTCCTCCTCCGCTGCAGATGTGGTCGAGAGGTTTACAGAAGAAGGAGGAGGAGATATTTCGGGGTTAAAATGATTTCTATTACAACTTGAAGATGAGTCACATCCGCAGCAAACTCTTCTGATTGAATCATCAATACAGAGGGACCACAGACTCTGGAAGACAACAGAGTTTTTCCCTTAAAAGGACAGACTTTGAGCATGTCTACCAAAGTGCTTTTGGGCAAAATCTGAACCGCTGATGGACGAAGACACGAGGAATTACATTATTGAGAAAGCAAGAAAAGAAATCTAGAGCCAAAGGTTAAACTGTTTGAGTAAAATATGAGTTTTTATCTTTGACAATGTGACATCTTACGTTTTCAGCGCCTATATTTGGACTTCCCCTTAAGTACATCACTGATCTCCTCACACATTACGAGCTCGTTCGTACCCTGAAGTCCTCAGCAAAGGGTCTGCTGACTGTTCTTCAGTCCAGGCTGAGGACCAAGGGGGATCAGGCTGTTTCTGTCAGGGCCCCCACTCTCTGGAACAAACTGTTCAAAAAAATCTGGCAAATAAGTTCCTTATCCTGTTTTAAAACTCTTTTAAAAACCCATTATTATAAGTGCTTTTACTGGATATGACTTTTAACTTAGCTCTTAACTCTAAATAAAGTTTAAACTCATTTTATTTTGTTAAATTATTTTATTTTTTAAACTCAGTTTATTAAGTTTTAACTTATTCTATTTTAATTATTCTAATTTCTATTATAGTTTTCAACTCGCTTTATTTTTTTTTAATTATTTATTCTAATTTTTATTATTAATTTAACCTAAATCTATCTAAATATATTTAAACTATATTTATTTTGTTTCAACTCATTTTATTTAATTTTAACTTATTCTATTTTATTTATTCTAATTTTTATTATTATTTTTAAATTATTTTTTGTTTTAACTTCTTTTATTTTATTAATTCTAATTTTCATTATTATTTTTAACTTTTTTAAATTTATTTGACTCATTTTATTTTGTTTCAACTTATTTTATTTAGTTGATTAAGTTAGTTTATCCTATTTATTCTAATTTTTATAATTATTTCTAATTTTTTAAAACTTATTTCAACTCATTTTTTAACTCATTTTATATTGTCATAACTTTTATTTAATTTTAACGTATTTTATTTTATTGATTCTAATTTTTCAACTCTTATTTTCATTATTATTTTTAACTTTTTTTATCTATTTTAACTCCTTTTATTTTGTTTTAACTCATTTTATATTATCATAACTTTTTATTTAGTTTTAAATTATTTAATTACATTTATTCTAACTTTTTAATCATTTTTCTAACTTATTTTAAAAACTTTTAACACTGTTTGAATTTTATCTCTTAGTGAATTTAAAATCATTCCTGTTGATTGACTGTTTTGGAAATTGTATTGATGTCCGCTGCTGAATCTTCTTTCTCTTTTTCTATTCTGTTTTTCTACTCTGAAAAGTCCAATATAAATAAAGTTATTATTATTATTATTATTATTATTATTATTATTATTATTATTATTATTATTATTATATTTGAGGGACAGGCTGACTCTGAGGACACAGTCTTCAATGACAAACTTCAGGAAGGACAGAAAGGTTCGTATTTCAATCATTTAGTTTTGATGTTTCATGGCTCCACGCATGAGTCCTTACGTCTGTGTTAAGTGTCATAAAGTGAAGCGGTCAAATACATTTAAATGGAAATCCAAAATTGAATTGAAACAACATAAAATGGAGTTTAACACCCACACAACCATCAGCTCCGCCAATTTCCAGTTTTATAGCTTTTTAAATTGGACCTGTTTTCAGCCGTACAGTAATAATGTGAAAGAATCAGTTAAGGAACAGGAGCCGATGAGATGTGTGACTTGTTCGTAATGTGGTTCTAATGAAGTTTAATAGGCGTAGAGCCGCCGTGTAATGTGGTGCATCCTCCCCTCTGAAACACGCCGTCCACAGTCTGCTCCAAAGGTGGCCGCGCTGTCCATTTATACACCGAGCAACTCATTCAGATGTGCTAAATGGAGCGTGGGCCGGACCAGTGCAAGACTTATTTCCGCAACCTGAGTCAGCCATCTCCGAATAAATGAATAATTTGCTTTTGTGTGCGCGCATATGTGAATTTGTAGGCGATGATGTGTGTGATGGAGTTTGTGCGCACAGGGTTCGGACTTGCCCTGAGCTACAATGACTAAGTGAGTCCCCCAATTTGTTTCTTTCCCTTCCCCTCTGTCGTCTTATCACAGCCAGGCTTCCTCCCCCCGATGTACTCCAACGAGTGACATGGAAACGCATTGGTGGAGTGTCAGACCAGACCGGATAACAAACATGTTGTTGTGATAGGTGCTGGAAACTATATGCTACTAGAATTTTAAACAGGTAGGAGGATTAAATCAGCTCCTACAGCATCTACGATGAATTCAATAGAAAACCTTTGCCTCCAGAGGGATATTCATGTTTAATTCATTACGTACAAAAATAAGATTCTTCAAAGACATGTGAAAAAAAAGAGAACAACTATAAAGAAAACATGCACCATCTTCTCAGCCATCAGTCCATATAGGAGTCCTTGTTCAGGATACAGTCGCTGCGTTTTCTATCGATAAAGCTAGTCGCACTATTCCCTCTCTGAAAACACAGGAAGTAGGGGTGTTTCAAAGAAGTTAGCCATCACAGCGGCACAGGTGTGAAATCTGGAGTTATTCACCAGGAGTAACGCGAGTTTATTATTGGCTGCCAGCAAACAGGTAATCAAAATTAAGCTGCATTTTCACTCTGATAGGAAATTAGTTGGATATGCTGCACAGACTCTGATTGGCTAGTTGAAGTTTTGCATGTATTGAAGCGCTAGAGCTTTATCGGACCTGTTTTAGTACATTTGGTTTGTGAGGACTGGTAGTTGCAAAACCAGCACTTTTCCACTTAATATACTGTATTAGGCTAAGTATTAGGCTACTCAACAGTTACACAGTTCCAACATGGGCAGAGGTGCAAGGGCCAGTTTATCGCCACCTGCGGTTTAAAGTAGGATTTGGATCTCTTTGTCTATTTCTTCTGCTTCAAATCAAATCTCTCTTTCTATCACTGCGTAGGATTTTCACATCACAATAGTGTACATGCACTGCAATTGTAGACACTAAAAGTACCACTAGTACATGTGCACACTAGTCAGATTTCTGTGGAAGAGGTAAAACAGCTGTTCCTCCAGTCTTCCGTCCTGAAACCGACCCCTTCGCTGCAGTTATAGGTGTCTAAAAAACTTGGACACAGACAGTGACTTTTCTCGCTCACAGTGTAGTTTGTTTTCCAGATCCCAAAAAGCCCCATTATTACTTCCACTCTGTTTAACAATCAGGTAAAATTCCTCACAGGAGCTTTAAATTTGATCGAGTGTTCAAACAAAGTTTGCCAATGTAAACTCTGGCTCTGCACACTGCATTCATCATTTCAGTGAATCACACTTTCAGACTTTTTTAATTGAATCCCAAACTTTGAGATTGATTGCAGAACTTATCGAATCACGCTGCCTTCATTTTAACAAAGTGTGCCTAATAAACTGACGACTGGGCATATCCTCCTCATAAAATTTGCAGCAGGTTGTTAGACTATAATGAGTCCAGCTTCAAGAGTCCTCTGTCTGAGCTCGGGGAGTTCACAAACTGCACACCAAATAGTTTACAATCAGACACAGTGGGATCCTTTTTAAAAGCACAACCCACTGGGAGAAAAAGGAGCCCGACCTGCTGGTTTGATGTTCTTCGGTGGTTTTGTCCTGAAAAAAATCTACAAAATGTACCAGAAAATCTCTCAGGCTTTTAAAGATTCATCCAGCTGTGGGTAGGGAACTTTTGTTTTCAGGTGTGCAATGGGAATCCAAACATACGGCTGCTCATGTTGAAAGGATGGTTAAAAGTTGGTGCTGCACTAAAGCTGTACTTTAAAGGGATATTCCAGCGTAAAATTAATTAAAGGTCAAACATACTGTATCACCGAGTTAGACACCCCCTTGAGAGATGAACGTTGCCGACCGCTTACTTCTCTAGTTATACCAACTTTAGTAACGGCCGCACGATAGCAATACACAGCGGTCTGAGGAGCCATAAACAAACCTCAACCAAAACACCACTCTATAGCCACAAATAATGCTCAGAACAGCACCTAACTTCATCAACAGGACATATAGTGTCCCAGCCATAGTACTAGCCACCAAACATCTTTTTGACTTTGCCGAATTTCTTTAGCAAAGAGACTAAACACAACTCACCTACTCTCTTCCAGCAGCCGCTTGTTTGTAGCGAGACCTCAGGCCAGTCCATTACAGACTACAGCGGAGTTTCGCAGCTCAAGGAAGAACATTTATGATCATTTCTTCATGGAAATACAATCAGACCGAGACGCTAAGGGAGAAGAACTACCACGTCTGCAGTTGAAATTATTAGTATGGTGATTATTACTTCAAGGAAATGATAAATGATCATAAATGTTCTTCCTTGAGCTGCGAAACCCCGCTGTAGTCTCGCTACAAACAAGCGGCTGCTGGAAGAGTGTGTGTGTGTGTGGGGGGGTGTCTAAGTGGTGTTACGGTGTGTTTGACCCTAAATTTATTTTACCCCGGAATGTCCCTTTAATGTCTTCAGAGGTGGACATTGGTCATGCAGATGAAATATAAAGAAGATTGAGCGTTGTACGAGGAAGTTTGACCAACTTCTTATCTGAGCATGAGGAATTCAAAGTTTGATTAATCGTGATCCTTCGATAACTCTTAATTTTCTACTCTAAACAGAATAAAGTGCATTAGTATATTTTTCAATATTGTTCAGCCTACTTAGTAGAACCATAATGGAGGAAATAAAGGCCAAGACAGCCCATTATGACACACAGTCCAAGTCAAATCTGGATCCACATCAAGTCATACGTCTCGATCACCAGGAACAAACAACAGTCAAACCTTCTATCTGCCTCCACTGAAACACCTATTAGCCCTGAGCTAATTACCAGTGGTCCTCCCTGTGAGAATGGCTAAGCTAATTAGCATTCACATAATAGAGCGGGCAGGCCTGTGCTGTGAGAGCGGAGCCAGGACAAACGGACGGACATGGACGCAGGAGCAAAAGCAGGAAGTCGAGAGGGTGCAGCAGCTGTGGAGGTGAAACGCTCACTTCCATCTGAGAAAAATGCTAAATTAGCACTTGAGGTAATTGGGTGAGGGCACATAAAACAGGAAGAGCAGGATGTTGGAAATCTCTTAAAGATTAGAATCAGGTCTTTTACGGCTTTTAGCGACTGCAGCCCAGTGGGACTAAGAAACAAATGGCTTGCATAATTAGGCTTTATGCTACCTAGGATAATGCGGTTTTTGTGCATTAACCGCGGCAGAGTGATAGCATTGTATTGCTTGTCATCTGTGTGGTACTAAACTGGGATTTTACACAGGTCATTATGCTGCCAGGGCTCCGCGGCGCCTCTGCAGTGCAAGAGAGCTGCAGTAGATAATAAGCACTACCCAAGATAGTTCTAGTTTTCTGTACTGCCACAGAGGAGCAGTCCTGTCACCGAGACCACCCACATGTGTACGGATCGCGGGCGGAGAGGGGCGATGTACTGACCTATCATCTGAGTAGAAGCTTCTTGACTCACAGGGGGGTCGTGTGAAGCAGCTGACGCTCTGCGGTCAGTCGATGTAGAAATCTATAGGCTGTGATTGTGTCGCTGTGGCTGTGGGTGTTTGAGACGCTCGCAAATGTGAGCCGAAGTACGAACAGCTTGTTTTCTCCGTGTCACTTGTCCTTGTAAGCAAACACTGGTGCGGTCTGGGGAGCCGTCTCTGCGTGTCTCGGCCTCCACATTGCAGGCGCTGTGTGGTACAAACAGGGATACACACAGCATGCACAATGAGGAGGCCTCGACACGCTCTCTCACTGGCAGCGCCGCGGGCTAATCAGCCGCTTGATGGATGACCAAATGAGGCGACCTGTTGGTCGGAGGGTTCCTGTAATCAACCTGAACGTCCCGCATCCGGTTACAGAGGAGTACCTGCTTTAATTGAGCATAGCGTTAGCTCAGGAGGACACGGACTTGAGTGCACGTTTTGGCGGTGGTTCAGGCTAGAAAGCTGCGATGACTGGCTTCTTAATTTTCGTGGACAGAGAGGGAGCGACTTTATAAAACTAGAGGAAAATGGAAATCGCCGTTTCTCGCGTTATATTGTTTTAAAACGATGTCAACCAATTCCTAAAAGGCAATTCATCACAGTTTAGTAAGATGTGAATTGGAGTGATTAGTTTCTGTGAGCGACCGTCTATAAATATGAGAAATAAAAATTCACTGTGCGAGTTTTAATTCATACTTCCTCTCTCAGATTTCCTCCTCGCCCTGAACTCTGGATGACTTAATTTAAGCGCCGTAATCACAGCTCTCTCTCCCTCTCTCCCTCTCTCTCTCTCTCTCTCTCTCTCTCTCTCTCTCTCTCTCTCTCGGCTGACTCCGTCTTTTATGATAAAAAATGAGTCTGGAAAAGTGTCAGGAGTTATGCTGCACTTGTTCCTTTTTTTTTTAATAAGCTCAGTTACAATAGCTTCTCACACAACCCTTAATGAGCCTCATGTCCCGGGGTGTGAGCTGAAGCTCGTTCGTGTTTCTGATGCTGAGCATGACCTGCTCTGAGATGTTCGGACCGTAGGCGACGCTGAATAAACCTGCACATGCTCTGTGCTGCATACAGATGTAGCAATTACTGCAGGACGGTCATCTTGTCATTTTAGCCCACTGACATTTTATTTATCTGAAATTAAGAGTTCAGAGACATTTTTTTTACATGGTTTATTTATTTATGTAAAACTATTCAATTAAGAGAAGTAAAGCCTCGTTCTCTGGCTGTGTTAGATATGATATTTGCTGTAATTGGTCAAAATATTATTGATAGAGTGTAAAACTCAAAGATTTGTGGTTAATGGCTAACCAGTATTCAGAAGAGAAAAGAGGAATATTGGAAGAAAACAGCATGAAAAGACACGAGGGACTGAATAGAAGAGACATCCACCAAATTGAAGAAAACGGACATGAAGCAGAACAAAGTTATTGATTAGCGAAGTGATGTAGCAGAAGACCCCGTGACCTTTATTTGGTACATCAGGTGTCACAATGAATGGAAATGTTCGGTTCGGCGTTTGTTTGACTGTCAAGTAAACAGATAAGAATACATTGTCTCCATGGAAACACAAACTTCAACACGATTCAAAGTTCCTGATACTGATAACTGATATTTGCAAAAGATATTTGGAGCTGATATGCATTGACGGTAAAGAATAAAACACTTTATGTCAATGTCTAGACCTGAAGGATAACAAGCTAACAGTTAACCAGTTACATTTACAGTGAAGCTACCAATCAGAGAGTGTAATGGGCGGGACATTAGGTAAGACGTGCGAGCGCCTGATTTAAAGTCATGGTTGACGATTGGAGAGATTGGTAATTATTATGAACCTCGTTTATATGCCGATCATGGTCCTATAGTGCGAGCTCCACAAAGTGAAAAGAGAAAGAAGAACCAATGGGACCAATGGGAGCCATCCGTCCTGGACAGCTCTTATTGGTCAATCTCCATCCAATCACCTCACTGTATTCGACACACCCCTCTCCAGTAGTTCCAGTAGTCGTTTTCAAATCAATAAATCTGATTTCATATTACTCTAAAGCTCATATGCGGAACTTTTTGTTTTTAATGATTTTGGCGCCCCCTGTGTCCTTCTAAAAGACCTGTTTCTTTCTTTGTTGTTATTTTTGGGTGAGATCTTCCACATTATCACCCACTATATTCCCAAAGGCTTTTTCTATAGTGCACCCACCCCCCCACACAGTAAGTATTGGTATTAAAAATCACAACATGGTCTCGTTTGTTTTTGTGCAACATAAAAATATATTATTATTCATTTCAGTCTGTTTCATTATCATAAAAAAACCCTCACGGGAGCTTTAACGTCTCATTTTAAGTGGATTTCTAGTATTCTCTGGTTAAAGGGCAACATATGCATTTTAAGTGGAGAGACAGCCTTCATGCGCATCTGTCCACGAACTCTCCCTTTAGCTGCACACATGTGCATTTATCATACTCGCATCAATAAATCCACACATGCATCTTCTTCCCAGGACTACCGCACACGCGCCAAACCTCCCCGCTAACAACCTGCGCGCACCGTGACAGGCAGAAAGATAAATTTCCCTCCATGTCCTGAGCCGAGCAGCTACACTTTCAGACTAATTGGAGAGAGAAGAGAGGAGAGCCATGTTCGCTTTATTGTGACAGTCAAGGACAGGGCATCCTTGTTAAAACTTCTCAGTGTGCGTCCGCTCATTTTTCACCTGGTAATTAATCTGAAGACAGTATGGGACTATAAGGTACAAAGAAATCCAGCTTGACCGCGGGGGTAAGCTCGGTGCAAATCTCATGATAATGGCTGAATATTTAAGGCTTTCTCGCACTGCATACATTCATTGTAATAAAGCACATTTAAAATAGCTTCTCCCACTATCGCCTCCACACACAGGCTTTATTTGGACATATAAAGCTCTTTATTAGTCCACTTTACTGTTGACGCATCTATATAATGTCCTCACCTTGTAAAAGCGATCATAAACGACGCACCGGTGGACGTGTCGGTCCCTTTAAGCGTTTGATCTGTAAACACCTCACGCGTCTTTCTCTTTATTGCTTTAGAGAGAACCTGATCCGGCACTCAGAGGGCTTTTTGAATGAATTTGCCTGACAGGTTATTAATATTTCGACATGGATTATATTGCTCATCTTGAAGACGCCCAGTCCCATCCTCGCCTCTTTCACCCAACAACTCAAGACTTCTGCGTCCCGAACGTCCCCTGGTGAAGCCGTGCCAATCAACCGATGTATATCCGTGATTTCCCTTTAAAACGCTCAGTCGAAATCAAGAGAGCGATTGTAATACCTCGGCGAATAAACAAGCACAACAAAGGACAAAAGAGGCTTCGAAGATTCCCTTGGATCATCGCTGCTCCGCACAAGTCGGTTAAAAGAGTTTGATCAAAAACAAAATATGCTCCGCGCGGTTAATTTCCATAACAACCAACTGTCACTGCCAACAAAGAGCACTTGTTTCCAACTCTCCAGAACTCCCACAGCACAGCCGGTGAGCTTTCTACTTGTACTTTTTATCATCAGAACAGTGACAGCTGCCAACTCTTTCAACACGCCATCACTCCGTCCATTTCCATTTCAGGGTTTTCAGCAATATTGGCAGCATGGCCTGAGGGATGACAAAAGGCTTTTTTAGACCAGTGGGACATCTTTTTTTGGTTCTACTAACAGTGGAGGACTTTGCCCTATTTTCTTGTGCTTACACTGCAGGAAGTAGAAACCATTATATCCTTTTTCAGGCGTACTTAGAAGCAGTTACCCTCCTGGGAACGAGGAGCTTCTTCTGCTCTAGTGTAATAGTATTGGAAGAACAAATGGGCTGAAGTGGCATCAGCAAAATCATCTTCAGAAACTGGCTGAAAAACTGACTCTTAACATGATCGTACCTACATAATGTGGTTAAGATAGACTTTTTCTTCTACAACTACTCTTGTTAGATTCAAACTGGCCAAGGCCAAAGTTTAGGGCTACTACGAGGTTAACCCGTTCGACTCCTGCTGTTGCGTTTGTCAATTGTTTTGGTGAACCAGGAGACGTCCAAGTACTAACTGAAGAAGGTAAGACATTTCATAAAAATCTCAAGTAATAATCGAAGCTAACTTGAACCTCATCATTCATCAACAACACCTGCCCTGCAACTGAGACTTTCCTGCGGTTTAACAGTATGCTTTTATTTTGAAGAGCAGACTTTATATTTCCTTTCTGATACATCTGTAATATTTAAATGTGATTGTCAGATCAAAAATATTCTCCTGTCTCTCACTCTGGTGTAATAAATATTATTTCAGCCTCTGCCTGAAACGCTTCGTTTTAGCTACTGTCTCTTTAAGGCCCCTCCCCCTCCACAGGCCTACTTTCTTCTGATTGGCCACCTCTCTGGAAGCTAAATGGAAGTCAAGGGCAGAGCTTGATGTGTTGGCATCACGAACTGGGGATTTCCACTGCATCCGGAACGGCGGCGATTTTCGGCGTACGGCAATTCCTACCGGATCCATTTGTGAGTTGAATTTTGTGGCAGATTACGGACAGCGGATTCAATGTGCAATGTGCTGAATTTGTCCGGCTGCTCCGACGTCCAGAAAAAATAGAACTTTTGCGATCAGTGGCGGAGTCTGGCGATCCGCAGCGGAACGGAACGAAGCCGGTGGAAATTGGCACATTAACTTGAATGGTTACGATCAGCTACAATCTGCGGATACGGCCTTTTCGTAGCCGTTGTGGATGTGGTGGAATTTGCTGGTAACGGTGGAAGAAATAAGAAGAGTCTCTAATTCTTGTGTCAGAATTTGAGTAAATCTCGCACATTGACGATGGTCTTGCATTTTCACGTTTTTCCGAGATTTAAGCGGTTTCCATCTATTTTCTAAGACTATGACAAAATACGTTAACCTTGTGATTTGAAATTTTGTATGGACACTAAACTTTGTAATGTTGAAGTTTTTGTCGTAAATGCTGAAAAGCTTGATGCCCCCTCCCCCTTTGAAAGACTGGTTAGAAGATTCGTAAGGAACCTGTTCGACTATAAATCTTTAAATCTAAGTTTTTAAAAGTGCTGAATCATCTTTCTGTGGCAGCTAACGCTAACTCGCTAGCAGCTGATGCATCTTCTTCTTCTTCTTCTTCAACCCCACTTGGACCACTATAAAGTCACATTTTTAAAAATGTTATGTAGCGACAGCCCTTGTTGTAGTCCTGAAACTGTGCCTTTATGATATTTTTCTGTATGCAGTTTGTACTGAAGA